GTTTGAAGAAAGAATATATTCTTAATTTTTTTTTTCAACGTTTATTTATTTTTGGGACAGAGAGAGACAGAGCATGAACAGGGCAGGGGCAGAGAGAGGGAGACATAGAATCGGAAACAGGCTCCAGGCTCTGAGCCATCAGCCCAGAGCCTGACGCGGGGCTCGAACTCACGGACCGCGAGATCGTGACCTGGCTGAAGCCGGACGCTTAACCGACTGCGCCACCCAGGCGCCCCAGAAAGAATATATTCTGATGTGAAATCTAGATAGCTCCTATCATTGCATTTTTTCACTGATACTATTTTGGATTGATTAAAACAAAAAAAAAAAAAAAAAAAAAAAAAAAAAAAAAAAAAAACATAGTTCAGGAAAAATTTTGCTTTTTGGAAAAACCTGTTCCCATAGATTGGAAGTGTTCCATAGATTGGAAGTTGTATTGCTTAGAAATTTGAGCCCTGCTATCGATTTTGTTAAAGTAAACTTCTGTTTGTGCAGTGTGATAGGAAATAAGAAAAGTTGTGGTATGAATTGAGTCTGACAGAGGGATTTCATGTGTTTACAGTTCATCTATAGCCAGGTTTTAAATAAAATATGTATCTTTTACATGCTCTCAATACATATAGTAGTAAAATTATTCTGACCATAGCTTAGTTTTTCTTTAGTGATCAATAAGAAGCTGCTATCTTTCAAAATCTTGAGGTTATTATTGTGAATGTCACTATGTTGGGGCTGTATATACTCAAGAGATAGGAGGTTGAAGTGAGACACTATGGAAATTGTTTTGAATAATTCCCTAATATTAGCTTGGTTGAAATTATTAGTAAGTTTGGGGTAAATATATTTGATTTGTGGTTTTTCAGATTAGGATAAATCCTATTTATTTTTGTGCTATTTTGTGCTATAATATATACTATATTTATTTAATAACAAATGTTTAGGAATTGTTATCTTAGTGCTATGCCTGCATCATATTTTTAGGATAACCACTAGTGTGGGACTAGAAGGTGTAATTCACAATGACATATCTGACAGGTACAGAAGATATGTATCTTGAAACCAGATGGCTTACAGAGGTCTGCAGTAGGCTTGCTCTAGGGGTTCTGGGAAGCAGTCTTGACTTAACTTGTCTTCTACTTATAGGCCCCAGCATGGCAAGTACCTCTCACTTGCATATTTGCCTTGAGGTCAGGAATGTGTGCCTGTGAGGTATTTAATGTCCTTTGCTTGACTGATAGCCTGACCTTTCCTATATTTCCAGACCCCAAAATGTGTTTATTTCTACTATTAGGTATTTCTTCCACTTATTTTTTCACAGGCCAGGATACTATCATAGAAGTTTAACAACAGAATGCTTATGATTCTATTTAGATTTAGCAATGGTCTCTTTGTCTTAAATTTCCTTTGTTTTGAAAGATGGGAAAGATTATATTAAGGTAAATATCAACATGTATAGTTATCTTTGAGTTTTCAGGTACTTAGCATTTATTGCTAAATCTTAGAGGTATAATAGTGAATTACCTAGAAAACTTTGTCTTCAATTTCTTATTTCTTAAACCATAAAACAACTCTTGGACATATTAGCTGTGAAATTGAAAAAAAAAATAAAACAATTTACTGTCAAGTAGATATTAAATTAGAATCTTTCACATGTATAGTAGGCAGAATAATGGTCTGCCAAAGATGTCCACATCCTAATCCCTGCCTGGTATTTGTGAATCTTTTATGTTGCATGATGGGTTGGGGGTTAGGGGATTAAGGTTGCTGACCTTGGGATGAGATTAGCTTGGATATCCTGTGTGCCAAATACTTACACGGGTTTTTGTAAGTGTAACAGGGAGGCAGGAGAGTCGTCCAGGTGGGAGAGGAATTTGAAGATGCTGACTTTAAAGAAGTCAGAAGGGGCCATGAGCCTAGAAATGCAGGTTGGACAAGGCAAGTAAATGAATTCGTCTTGAGAGCCTCCACAAGGAATGCAGGCCTGGCAACACCTTCACTTCGGCCCAGTGAGATGCACTTCAGACTCCTGACCTCCAGAACCGTGGCTGAATAAATTTGTATTGTGTTAAGCACTAAGACTGTGGTAGTTTGATACAGCAGCGATAGGAAATAATACACTATTTTTACAGTGTTTTCACATCCATCATGTCATTATATATTTATACAATAACTCTGTGAGATGGGCATCATTGCCATTTGTTAGATAAGAAAAATGAGGCTTAGAGAGATTTGCCCAAGGCCACCAAGCTGGTTAGCACTGTGAACGCTAACACCTAGTATGAGATTTGAATGTGGCCGTGCTTTCCCTCTTCATTCTCCCTCCTCAAAACCCTCAAATTTGGTAAAATTGACCCAGATTCTAGGATATATGCAGATATTGCTTGTATAATCCCCCACTCCAGCTCCTTAGTGCACTGCTCAGAGACCAGAACTACCAGATCTTTACTTCTGTTCTACCACCATTTACACCTCTTTTTTAAAAAAATTAAAAGTCTTACACTGCTGTTTCTTAGGTCATTCATTCACTCATTCATTTTTGTTTATTTTTTAGTGAGCTCTGTGCCCAATGTGGTGCTCAAACTCACAATCCTGAGATCAAGGGTTGCA